AACTCATACGGAAGTGGCTTCAGATTCTCAGTGCTGTGCTTTAACCCGCTGCGCCACCAGGGAGGGCCAAGCTGCTTAGTTTTAATTGGTACTTCTCCAGTTTTTCTAAGTTAAACAGACTTTCAGTTTTATATCGCACACTGTTCCTATTTGAGGTTTAAAGCATTCTCCTTAGATAAAGGTATGTGAAGTGTCATAGCCCTAACAGTTATGTGTAGCGGAGTCCTTGGAAATCACGGAGTCCGTGGCTTAAAACATGTTCTACATGTTATGTGATCATTGATACCTGTGGCTAAGTTGCAGTGTGAGGGGCCCTAAGTGAGCATATAGGCGAGTTTTTAATAATTACATGACATGTAAGTCATCATTTTATAATCTTTAAACTACTTATCTGTTTACTTCCGCATCAATTGTTTCTTCTACCAACCTTTATGCCATTCATATTTAACATCAGATATTCATGGCTTGTGTTTTAACTTGTGCTATTCATCCCACTTTTCTTGGCATACATCAAGACCCAGCTCAAATATTACCTTTTCAAGTTATCTGTTACTATTAGTAAGAATTATTTTCTTTTTCTGTTCATCTTTGCCTCTCAGGACCCTAACATAGTGTAAGATACATAATAAAATAAAGACTTAAGGGTATGTCGTAGTATGAGTAATGCTAGATTAGGTTCTACTGCAAATCAGTTGATTCAAAAATAAAAATTGAAAGATTTTAGAGGTACATATATTTTATTTTGAAGCTGTTCATCTATAATATCTAACCTAGTTATATGATTAAGTTACCATTAACATTGTGTAAGAGATTTGCTTGGGAAGTTTGATATTTACTTGTGGAAAAAATTAATTTTATCCTAAAGTTGCTTTGTTTACACAGAGAATGTCCAAGCACACTGATGCAGCGGGAGAAGTACTATTGGAAAGAAAAGGTTGTGCGGGAGTTATAACACTAAACAGACCAAAGTACCTAAATGCTTTGAACCTTAATATGATTCGGCAGATTTACCCACAGCTAAAGGTTGGTAATTTTATGAAAATAATTCTCTGATAAGTCTTAATATAACACTTCTGGTACTCTCTCCCATGGAATCACAGGAGCTTCATGATGCTATTAATTAATAGAATTGACCCTTATTAATCCTTAAGTCTCCAGTGTTTTCTCCAAGCTGTCACCCTGGACTAGCTTTTGTGACAGGGAGCTCATTGCCTCATGAAATAGTCCTTCCAGTTTTTTAGAGCTCTGTTTCCACTGTATTCTGCTACTTTCGCTCTCTGACCTTTTAATCAGTAAACTAGTTCTGCTTCTTAGGGCACAAGCATCCAAATCTCATCTTTCTCATGACATTTCTCATTTTGATTTTAAGATAACTGAGGTTGAATTGCTTGGCCAGCTGTTAGAAGTAAAAAGCATTACTGAGTGAATTGAATAGGATAGTAGAAAGCATGATTTAAAAGTCAGCCTATTTGTGTTTCACATTACTGTTTCACATTACTGTTTATTAATAGTACAGGTAGGGAAGTTAGTCTCTCTGTGCCTCACTTTCCTCACCTGTGGAGTAGGAATGGTTGTATTTCATTGGATTGTGATGAAGAATAAGTGAGTTATTATACCTAATAGGATGGGTGACATAGGTGTTGAGCAGTTGATAGTTCTCTCCCTGGTCACTACTTAATACTTTATTTTATGAGTCTTTTCCACTTGTTATATCTGTTGGGGCTACCTTGTAATATATCTAGGTATGATAAAAAATAAGCATTCCAGATCACTTGAACTAGAGTGAAAACAGTAGGTATGTCCTACTGTTGTATGTCCTACAGGCTTCATTAACAAACCTTGTTGGAACACTGTTAATGAAGCCTGTATCGCATTAGTCATTTGGACAATTGTGTCTGCTTCTTCATTTCTCAAGTACAAAATTTATAGAGTCCCTATTAATTTTTTTATCTGATTAATTTTTTAATTTGATCATGGTTCTAGCTCTCTGAATTTCCATCAGCTCTTGATTATTTCACCCTATTGACTAGATGTCAGTACCAACCCAAAATTACTTGCAGATTTGATTAGTGTGAGCAGCTTCACTCTGTTGATGACAAATTTGTCAGTAAGACAGAACTCTGTATCACCCCACTAGAAAGGTGATTGCTTTACTAATGGTCTTTGGGCTGATGTGTCCCTAGATTTACAAGTTTATGTAACAAGACATTATTTAGTCTGTATTTTCCCCCCTTGGTCTCAAAGTTACCTTGGGAAAGATTTTATATGCCATCATAAACTTAAGATTATGAAACAAACTTAAGTCAGAAAAGAAAATGAAGTTGGGAATCCATCTCTCTGGGTATGCTTTATAAAGCTTATGCTTTATATATACCCGTATTGAACTATATATTTACACATAGACTCATACATATGTATCTATCCAGATGTATATGAGTTTGTATTCATCATGTGCTTATACCACCTTCTTTTATATTTGACTAGAAATGGGAACAAGATCCTGGAACTTTCCTGATCATTATAAAGGGAACTGGAGGAAAGGCTTTCTGTGCTGGTGGTGATATCAAAGGTAAAATCATTCTTTTGCCCTTCACCTAAAATTATAGAATGATAAAATATTGATAAATGATAGAATGATAAAATATTGACAGATGTTTGTATTGCATTGTAATTTGGTTTATTTTTTTAGGATTTGGTTATAAAGTTAATCTTATGTATTTAGGACAAAAACTTTAAAAGTACTTTGTATTTAATATTAGAAAAAATTGGGGACAAAAGTAAGGTTTTTTTGTTTTGTTTTTTTTTCTTAAGCTTCATATATGCCCTCCTAAAACTCAGATATTTTGTCCCTTTCTATGAATCTTCATAAACAGACACAGTCTGGTCTTGTTGGGTGATTCTCTAAATACCACACACGCTCACATGTCCATGATTTTTCTTACTGATTATAATTCCAAAGTAACCATGTTCTTAATTATGGCATTTATCCTGTTGTGTTGTCATATTTTTATATGCATCTAAACAAACAGGATAAGGTTAAAGTAACTAATTCCCCTTTTCTTGTGTAGATCAACCCATAGTCATTTAAGTATTAAATGGAATGAAATCCAGTCAATTAAGTATTAGAAGTATTAAGGGAGAAGAAATGTTCATTCTGAAGACCAGTACTCATTGTCACCGCTAGTTGTCAATATATGACATCTACTGAGAATGATTTTTACCTTTTGTATTTTGTTTCTAATGGAATTAGTAAAATCCAGGGATCCAGGGGTGATTTTTTTTTTCTTGTGCTCTTATTTTATTTGTGCATTTGTGTGTGTGTGTCTGTATTGTGTTAAGACATAAATATTTGGGTCAGCTTAAATACAGAAGTTTATAGAAAGCCATTACATTTGAAATAGGAAAACACTTGATTCAACACATCATTTCAAGTACCTATTAAAATTGGTAAAACTGAGTCTTAAAGGTGAAACTAAATTTTTGGCTGGGTAGTCTGATTTATTAAGTGACTAATTTTCTGATTTATTCTTTTGCCCACAACATGAATATATTTAAAATGTTTTTCAGCCTGCAATTTAACTTTCCTCTGGAGTTGGGCATATTATCTTTTCAGTTGACGTAAATATAATCTTACAGATTGATTTTGGCTTCTTCTGACTATGAATTATTTCCTTCACATAGGCCTACCTGTATACTGATATTTGGAAATACAATCGTAATTTATAGAATTATTCTAGTGTCCATGTATAAAGCAATGGGCTTCAATAACAGGAAATTTGTAGTTTAAATAGCCTAAGATGGTAAGTGACCACTCAAATTTTTTAAAATATTATGAACATTATTGCATTTTAACTTACATGAAACTAATAGTTTATAAGAAGAATTAGCTTAGAATGATGAAAGAAAGTGTAAGAATTTTGAGGTAAAAATAACTTCATTTCATAGGCAACACAGCTTGAGCTCTCTTTTCCTTTTAGTATTTAGTAAGTAATGATGAAGACTGAGTAAGAGGCAAGTGAAGAGGAGTTTGGGCGTACATATATCAATGAGAAAATAGATGTTCAGATTTCCCTGAGTAGGAAATATTATTTTTTTCCCCTCAAAACCAAGAAAGGAAGTCAACATTTCAAACAGTTTGAGGGAAAATAGATCACAGTTGTCTAATTAATGTAAAAATTGAGAAGCAGTCAACAACTTTTATGAACAAAAAAAGGATAACAATTTTTATGTAGCTCTTAATCATAGAAGAAGCAATGTATATACTTAGTATTTTAAAATTTGTATTTTAGTAGGTTATTCTCGTAGGACTTAAAGATAGGAAAAGCATCATTTTTGTGAAGTTACATTTCTATCTCACCTTTGCTGTTCTGTTTTAGTCTTTTAAGGGTATTTATTACTTGTTTCTATTTCTGTGCCTTTTTCTTCCTCTAATTGGACCTTTTCTCTACCTCTTAATTTTGACTCAGGGAAATCCTCTCTTAATTGCACCTCTTCTCTCATCATTGCAGGGCTCCGCCTTACAGTGGGCATAGCACAAGAATGTATTAGTCTTTCTTGTTTACCTGAGCACCTCACCAGTCATCTTGATGTCTTATCTGCAACACCTACAGCAGTGTGTGGTACCTAGTAGATATTCAAGGAATGTTTTCCTGTGAAATGAACAAGACAGAAATATTTAACTATATGGAGTATATTATAGTATTGTGTATATACACATTGTATGTGTTTATGTGTGTGTAAAATGGCTTTATGTTAAAATATATTACCAAAGGCAATGTATATCCAAAGATGTTTGTTTGACTGGAAGTTAGTCAAAAGAAAATGGATTTTGTGGGAATATGTAATTTCTAATTTACACATGATAATTTGTAAAATGTACTTAGTAGGAATTGTTGCCTTAAACTTTTGAATTGGACTGTAGATATTAGGCTGTGTCTGAAATACAGGCAGCTTCCAAACTTTAATAAACACCAATTTCCCTCTGGTATTTAGTTTTCTTTCTTTTATTTTTTTTTAGCTGTGTCAGAAGCTGGAAAGGCAAAACAAAAGTTAGCTCAAGACTTCTTCAGAGAAGAGTATATGCTGAATAGTGCCATTGGTACGTGTGCTGCTCTGCTGAGAGCTTTGAAAATGCAATCATGAAATAAGTTACCCAATATGAATTGTTAAAAATGTAATATATAGGTATTCTAATCTTTTATATGTTACATACCAGGCATAAGGGTGATTAATCTAATAATGCTTATTATGACTTATGAGTATGACTGCTTATTCAAGAACAATTTGCACTTTTAGTAGGCTACACCTGACTACCATTGTCATAAAACTAATAAGAAAACATGGAATTCTTATAACATGACACTTACTTGGGCAACAAAAACTGGGGTCCCAGTTTTCTATATAAAATGAAACATTACTTTTTATTTTAGAGAACTCTAGAATGAAAACTTTTTTTTCCTAAGATTTATTTATTTATGCATACAGAACTGGAATACAGGCCAGAGCTGTGGGGGTGAGAGGATTCACCAGAGAGAGTGGGGAGCAGAACAGGCAGATCAACGAAGTACACTGCTAAGGGGAGCCGTGGCTTGCTTGCAGTGCTGCATCCTAACTCACTGTGCCACCAAGGAGGGCCTGATTGAAAATTTTCTTATCAATATTTCAGTTTTCATTGAAGTGAAACAGTACTTCCATATAAGTGTGTGTTTCAGAATGTAGGGAGTACTACAACATCAATTTTTTTTTTGCTTGTTTTAATATTTATTTTAATGGAAATGGGTAATGGTGGTCAAAAGGTAAAAACTTCCAATTACAAGACAAATAAGTTTTGGGAAATTATATACAACATGGTTATAATAAGTAGCAATATTGTATATTTGAAACTTGATAAGAGTAGATTTTAGAAGTTTTCATTACAAAGAGGAAAAATATTTCATTATGTGAGGTGGTGGATGTTAACTGTACTTACAGTAACTATTTCACAGTGTAACTTATTTAAGTCATGTACACTTTGGACTTACACAGTGTTTATTTCAATTGTGTCTACGTAAAACTGGAAATATTTTAAAATATTGAATACTACATATTAATAGTATTGAATACTACAGAACATATATTCCTTGTTGTTAAAAACAAATTAGAATGGTATGTACAGTTATGTAAATCTCAGAAATACAAAGTAATACTGTTTTTGTTTTATCTCCAGCATCTGGAGATTTCTTCTGATTGGTTTTGAATGTAGATATACAAAAAAAATTTACCTTCCCCCCCTAGAATTTCCATGTTTTAGAAGTAGGAATGTAGAGAAGAGAATAGTCTCACTTTAGCTCATTGAAGCAAATGTTAGTCTAACATTTCACAGATCAAATTTATTAGAGAATGTTTCATTATTCTGATATACCAGTACTATCTAATAGACATCCGTGATGATGAAGATATTTTGTCTTTGCTGTCTGATATGAGAGCCACTAGCCATATGTGGTGATTGAATCCTGAAATGCGACAGGTATGGCCAAAAACCTGAATTTTAAATTTTATATTATAATAATTGGTTTAATTAAAGTAGCTGCCTTTGGCTAGTGAAGGCAGAATTTTTCATAAAAGGAGTTGGGAGAAAACCTCTGAGCAGTTAATATGCTAATATACATAGAAAAGGCCTCATATTTCTATACATTGTAAAATTTCTATACATTATAATGGCATTTTAGCTGGTAAGGAACTTGACATATTCTAGCTTCATATATGGCACCAATTAACTTCTGATATTTTATATCTGAAATACATTTTTCAATAGTTGGAAATGTGTGTGTGTTTGGTGATAGCAGGTAATATGTATGGAGTGACATATTAAAAATAATATTTTAGAAATCATCTATTTAATTTATTTTGTGATTGCTTATAAATTTTCCCTAGATACTCATACTCAATTGATTTTTAGAAAAAGGAAATACATTGCATTTTGAATATTGTTAACTAACTACCCCTCTATTTTTTTTAGAATCTTGCCAGAAACCATATGTCGCACTTATTCATGGAATTACAATGGGTGGGGTAAGTAGCTTGTTTTTCTTTCAGATATATGTAATTTTTATTAAAAATAAGTTAACTATTAAATGGAAGTCATATGATTAATATACTATAGTAAAACTCATTGAAACAGTCATGTTTGGGTTTGGATCCTTGCAGATTTGGTGTGTAATTTTTGCTCATAACACATTTAGACAATTTCAGCCTAAAATACTGTGTTCTTTATTATTGTAATTTTAACTTTATCTAGTTTTTAAAAAAGATTTATTTATACATACAAGAACTGGGATACAAGGCCAGTTGGGGCCGGGGAATGGTGAGAGGATTTATCAGAGACAAGAGTGGGAAGCAGAACAGACAGATTGACTGAAATACAGTGCTGGGGGAACATCTGGCAAGACTGGAAAGGTCTGCTGTACCATGTGGGCCAGCTCCCTGGTCTGTGATCGAATTCATTCTGCAGTGGCTGACAATAGCTTGTTAGTGCTGAGACTTAAAATATTAAGTCTCCCCTTGTGCCACTAGGGAGTCCCTTAACTTTATCTAGTTAACAGAATTTCTGGCTTTAAAATCTATGGCTCCTTTTCTGCATATAATTAAAATGATTGCTTCCACCAACCTCACGAATAAAAGTGGGATGTTTAATTTTTAGACCCTGGTTAGTGTGGACATGGTTGCCTAAATTATTGCACAAAATGTTCATTAGTGAAATAATTCTTTATGTAATTTTCTGATACTGCATGTTAGTAGACATTTTTAAATCTTAGCTATCTAAAATATCACTTGCTTTGAATAACTTGATCTAGAGTTGGAGAAATTTTGAAATAATTGCAAAAAAGTGATATATTTTATGTCACTGACTATAACAAAAACAAGCCTTTAAAAGGTGAAACATAATGGTTCTTCTTGGCAGTAAATGAAGATTTTATTAGCTAGTGGGAGGCCAAAGAATGGAATTTACCAGTTTTTTCACATTCAATGTTTTAAGGATTTTGTCACTGGGAATATAAGAAGTCCTCCTCTTTTTCTAATAGTACCACAGTAGATAAAGCATCTTGGGCCTCAGGAAATGGTTAAATCTGACACATCAGTTTTGGAAAGAATTTTACTAGTAGCAATTTGTTTAAAAAGTTATTTCAAGGACAATTTATACCTTTCTGCTAGCTGTTAGGTACTAAGCACAAGTTGATTGTACTTTTTGTCAAAGAATTGTTAACATGGGGAAAACATTTGGAGAAAATACTGTAGAAAAAGAAGCAGGAAAAGAATCTGAATCTTTGAAGGAAGAATTACCATATGAAAATAAAGATAATCTAAACAAAATGAAAACAAAAACAGAAGATGTGGATGGCCCAGTAAAATATGAAAACACCCCTAAGAAAATGACATGTTCAGATAAAGGGGCATCAGATGGAAAGGAGAACTGGAAACAAGGAAGGGTGATTGGAGACTAAAATACATAGCAGGGTTCATTTTTCTACTTAGAAGGCAATAGACTAGGAGTTAAATTTTAAATTACACATAATAAAGTTAAAAAATAAAAAATAAAAAATAAAGTTAAAAAATTACACATCTGTGGTGGACAGACTTGACATTCTCACCAAAAGGATAAAGATAAACTTACTGAGGTGTAATGAATATAAAAGAAAGATTCTAGAAACCCTAAAAAGGAATGTTAACTATCCTATGGAACGTAAATCAATCAATTGGAATAGAAGTGATGAGTAGTAAATTTCATTAATAACAAACTCTCGAAGCTGAGATGTGCATACTTAATAGAAATAGCATTCTAGATACTGAAAAATAACCTACACCTAGCTAAAGCTCACATAGGTTTTTTTTTTTTTCTTTAACTAGAAGCAAAAAAATGAGGGGTATAAGGACAATTGGTGAAAACACTCATATCCAAAGGAAAATAAATCTATCTTCACACTTTGTTACAGCTAATACTAGAAGTCAATGGAACCAGGAGTTTTCTGACCAAATTGTCAGTAAAAGACAAATATTCTTAGAAATAAATGGACTTGGAAAATAGGTTGCTGACTTACTGTTGCTGAAAATATTTCAAAAAACATTTAATCTGGTTAATCTGGTTGCCCAAAAGATCACTCAAATAACACAAGACTAGTTTCAATATGAAAGAATTAATAAACTGTATTTTCAGTGAGTAGAACTTCAATCTTTTCATAGGAACCTGAGAACAAGTTTTACCTTACCATATCACATCTGAATGAATTGATTGTGTCTTTTGGCCCCTTTGATGTGTTTAAGGGGGTTCAGGGTTTACATATAAATCCTAAGTATGTTACAGCCTAGCATATTCTATTTTAATGAGAAGAAAAACAGCAAGATAATTTGTCTTGAATAGAGTGAGTAAGGGTAATATTCTTATTTTTGGTTTCTGTATTTACTTTCAGAGTAGAATGACTTTCAAAATAAAAATATACTTTATAGGACTACTCTTTCTTGACCTGAAAATCACCAGAAAGTTAAGTTTTAGTGCCTTAAGGCAATGTTTGCAAAGATGTTGTCTCTGTAACAGTAGTATTGAGAGCAGTTGGGAAATTTTTAGATATATTTATCCTTTGGCCCTACTGTGGAACTAGACTATCAGGGGTGGGGCTTAGCAGTCTTTTTTGACAAATCTCCCGTGTGATTCTAAGTCATGTTAAGTGTGAGCACCATTGCCCTAGGGCATCCAATATATTGTATATATTGAATCAACTGTCCTGTTTCTATTCTGTACTTTTAAAATGGAGCTAATTTTGTCATCTCTGAGGGAATTGAGAAAATAGTCATCTTTTGTTATCTGTGGTTCCCCTAAAAAAAAAAAAGCCCCACCTGTCTTTTCTCCCATCAGCTCACCTACCTGCTCACATGTACTAATGTATCCATAAAGATTGAAATTTTACCCTAATATTTGGCTGTCTTAAATACTATTGTGGTTAGATAGCACTCCCTCTTCTGCTGACTCAGCACATTGAAACTGTACTCCAGATTTGAGGTTTATACTTTATATTTATTAGGAAATAGGCCTTATCTCCCCAAGCAGTATTGATAGTTTATAAAAGCAAGGACTGTCCTGCCTTAATTAAAAAAAAAATCTTTCCATAAAAACTAGGACACAAAGTACATTTAATAAATTATGTATTGAAAGAATTCTACTCTAAAGAAACATTTTATATAGTCCTTGAAATAGTAAAATTTACAACTTTGAAGTGAGTAGGCTCTTTTTGATTTGTAATCAGAGCTTTGTATGTATTCTTGGTTTTGATAATCTTGGTAAATCTAAACCTCTTAGTGGACTCTATTTTAAAAATAACCCTCTAGATCAGTGACTCAGTTTTGGCTGCATTTTAGAATTACTTTGGAGTCTTTTTAAAAATTCTAGTGGCCAGGCTTTACTCAACTCCCAGAAAATCATTAAGTCAGATTATTGGCTTTTTAAAGCTTCCTGGTGATGCCAATTTGAAGCAGTTCTTAACAGCTAAAGTGCTAGTGATTTCTAATTATTGTGTGGTTCAGTGTTACAGATGGCCCTTTTTTAGGAATTCCCTACGGACAAAGGTTTTCCCACATTACCATGTATCAGGATCACTGGAAGGGCTAGTAAAAATGTAGATTCCTCCTCCCTCTCCCAATTCCAGTTTTGTCAGTCTGACTGGTGGCCTCCAAATTGCAATTCTTACAAGTTCCCAAGTGATACTGATGCTGGTGGTGATGGGACAGCTCATTTTCAGAACCACTACAGTAGGCATTGTTGAGAACACAGTTTGTTATTCAGAAGACCTTTATTTTTCAGTAGAATTTTAGTGTTGATCAAAAATGTTTAGTAATACATTTAAAATCCTACTATAGAGCTGAGAGTTGGGTAAGACAAATATGGCTATAGAAAATATGTATAATTAGTATCTGTCTTTATTTTGATCAATAATTTTGAAAGGATAGTAGAATTATAAGAAAACAAGAATAATCCATACGATGGCACCACAGACCTTAATCCTCCCAATCCCCCCCACTCTTTAAAGATCTTTTTCCTACTATTTTCCAGTAAGGAAAATGGGAGTTTGCAACTCATTATTCACCTTAGAGTAGTACAGCATTTTGTAGAAGGGATGGTTGAGTTCTAGGCTTCAGATTTTAGAAACTCAAACATATGCTTGATAATTTTGAATAGTAAAGTAATATTTGAGTGACTTTCCAATTTGTTGATCAAAATTATGTAAAATTGTGAAGAGACAATTTTTATGGATAGTGATCTGAAGGAATAGTTTATTGTGCTTCCTAAGAAGCAAAGATTGTAATTTCTTTTATCTACATTTAAACATCTAAGGTCACTTTCTCGAGAAGGGAAATTTGTTTTAAAAATTATAATTTTTAGTTGATATAGAAAACGTCTTTGAAGTTTTATTCAACATTTAACACCATTCACTTTTCCCTCTGTAAATAAAATGAATTTAAAGAATTTTTTAAATTTTCTTTTTTCCTTTTCCACCCTTTCTAGTTAGCCCCCCCCCTTTCTTCCTTTTCTTTCCAATGGACTTTGTAATAGAAACAAAGTTGGCTCCTCCAAACTAAGTCAAAATGTGATACTGTTTTTGTGTTTCTCAAATTATCTTTAAAATGCTGGTAGCAGAAGGGTTTTGCTGTCTAATAGTAAATTAAAAGTTTTAAGTCATAACTTAGAGAGGGGTATGCTTTTTTCTTTAAAAATTGTTGTAATATTGGTTTACAATATTGTATATGTAAGCCAATTGTATATATAGGTTCACACCTCATCACATATGTTGCCATACCAAACCCACCACCAAAGCACCCCTAGTTTCTTTTCTCATTAATTTTTTACATCATTGTATTCCTTAGTCCTCATGTCACCTGTGAACCATCATATTATTCCCTTGTGTTCATCCCACCACTGTTTTGCCTCTCTGCTCCTTTGCTATATGTCTCAGTTCTATGGTCAGCTTGCTAGTTTTGACTTTTTCTTGATGAAAGGGATGTGTTCTACGAATACAGAACACACA